ATGCTTCCCGCGGTCTTGATCACACTGCTGGAGGGAGATTCTAGTCGCGCTCACTGGCATGCACAACATCCGAACTTGGATTTGCACATGCAATGAAAGCAGACCATGGAGCATACCATTCCAGTGCGAAAGCAGGTATGTAGAGCACAGAGGAGGCCACTCGGTTCTCAGTGAAGTGGTTGACAGCGTGGATAAAGAAAGAGTTGAGTCTGACGTGCACCCGTGAATCGTCCGATGAGCTTCCAACGACACTTACCAAATCTGTCAAATGGTGCTCTTGGCTCAAGACTCAGAGTCGGGTTGATATCCACATCACTTTGTCTCTCGCGTCGATAACTCCATCTCGTGTACTGTAGTCTAAGACCTGTTACTTGCAAAGTGGTTGCCTCACTGTCTGGTAATAGTATTTTTGTAGAAATTGAATTGTACCACTTGCAGTCCGATTGTCAAGCTGCCATCCGAGTCTCGGTCCTCAGACATGTCAACAGTGCATGATCGGATGGCATTTCCACGTAGGAGTTGTGTCTCAGAAAGTCTGTAATTCATCGGAATATGAAGGTCAGTCTTTCCGGAGATGTACACGGACCTCCGATGCATCATTAGATCCAGGTATCTTGCAGAGATGCCCCAAACATCTTTGCACGTCTTTGACCAAGAAGCACAAGGACGTTTGGGGCACTTCTGCAAGATACTTTGATCCCACTTACCATGTTATTTGCTGTTTCTAGGTATCCCGAGCATGATCTTGAAGCCCTGTCCTATCCTCCCATGCAGTTCCCCAGCAGGTATGTCGTCAGATTGCTTTGTTCATGCCAATCACATTTCGGAATGGAAGGGTGAGTCTGACATCATAAGGAGCAACCGAGCAATCAGCAATCACATCTCTGGATCGCGCCTCGGGTAGTCATGACTACTAATTTCTGATTTCTGATCCCCGCCTAACTCTGTTTACTCACCAGATGTCAACGACCCATCAAATTTCGGCTACGATCAGCGGCCATCAGTGTCAGGCCGACCTGAATATATCTTTCATCCCACATTTTTCTTTCACCCACTCACCTTCCTCCCTCTCTCCCTCCAGAACAGGTTTCACTAACCTGACGCCCACTCTTGACATCTCTCGCTGCTCGCATCAAGTCCAGAATGCAGCACTCCAACAATGTGTGGTTTCAAGGTCAGCAAGCCGCAGCGAAACTCGGTGTGGAAGGATGCGCGGAGGTTTGTACTGAGCTCTCTCACACTGATTAGAGCTCACATCATGCTGACGAAACCCTGCGAGAATAGAAACTGTATGTGGCCATCGACAAGAGGTGCAGCTTGCGACAAGGCATCATTCCTACCACACATCAAACGGACTAGTATGTTTTAGCATTATTGTAGAATCCGATTTCATCTGACGGATCCTTTTTATGTAGGTCTTCATACTTGGATTCCCGAGATTCATGCACTGCAATGAGCATGCTGCAAGTCGCGATCATACCGAGTTGTCGAGAATGTAGCACGAGAGCAGCATCCGACCAATATATCTCAAAAAGGCATGTCTTAATGTTAGTGCCAGAGTCCCTGACTTACATATGTTGTTTTCCAGGCATCCTCGCTCGAATCTCGGACCTCAGCGTAGCTGCGAGCCTCGCATGCAATGCAGAGGATGTTCTCGAGTCCTGCGAGCCTACCGCATCGAGAACAATAGGTTCTCAGTGTGATTTAGTATCGAGTACGTCGATATTTGCATTAGATATCTGAGGCGGTGTCGAGCTCACGTTCGTACCTCGAAAATAGGCAAATTGATGCGTCAATTTGCCGAGGCTCAAGCCCAGCGGCGAGCGTGCCGCATTCCTCAAGAGAGTGCATCGCTGTGCCTGCGATTCTCTGCAAGACGGCTCGGTGGCCACGGTCCGGGCAGCGGGGCGGAGCGCCGCAGCCGCCCATCTCGCTCGCCTGGAATGCCGAGGAGAGCATGTCGGGTAGAGCGTGGTCGACGACGACGCTGTGAGCGAGACGGACTCGCAACGGGTATGTAGGCCTTTAGATTAGATGTCCCAGGCCGCCTCGAGCTCACCTTTCTGTCTCAAAAATAGGTAATGTTTTGTCTCAATATTCTGAGGCTCAAGCCCAGCGGCGAGCGTCCTCCGCTCCTGAAGAGAAAGTATCGTCCTCCCCGCTGTCTTCTGTATGGCGGTGGGACGGCTGCGGTCCGGGGGGCGGCGCGCAGCGCCGGCAGTGCCTTCTCGCTCGAACGCTAAGGAGAGCACGTCGGGCAGAATGTCCTCGACGTCATCCATCGGTGATGCGGGTACGTAGGCGTCCGCGTTAGATGTCCCAGGCCGCTCGAGCTGACCTCTCTACCTCAAAAACAGGTAATATTTCGTGTCGATTTTCCGAAGTTCAAGCCCAGCGGCGAGCGTCGTCCACTCCTCAACCGAGTGAATCGTCCTCCTCGCCGTCGTCTGTACGACAACGAGACGGCTGCGGTGCGGGGAGCGGCGCGCAGCGCCGCCAGTCCCTCCTCGCTAGCCTGGAACACCGGGGAGAGCACGTCGCAGAGCGTCTTTGACGTCATCCGTCAGCGATATAGGTACGTGAACCTCCGCGTTAGATGTCCCAGGCCGCCTCGAGCTCACCTTTTCGTCTCAAAAATAGGTCATATCTTGCGTCGATTTTCTGAGGTTCAAGCCCAGCGGCGAGCGTCATCCACTCTTCAAGAGAAAGTGTCATTCTCCTCGCGGACCCTTGTACGATAAGGAGACGGCTGCGGTCCGGGGAGCGGCGCGCAGCGCCGCGAGTCCCCCTCTCACTCGCCGAAGAGAGCGCGTCCGGCAGGATGTCGAGAGGGGGCACGCAGCGGGTACGTGGGCTTTCGCATTAGATGTCGCGGGCCCCGTGGAGCTCACTTTCCCTCCGTGAAATTAGGGGATTTGGAGCGCCGAATTCTCGAGGCCCAAGCCCAGCGGCGAGCGTCACGCGGTGCAGAAGATATTGCACCGACGTCCCCGCCATTCGACGCCTTCGAGCGAAGCGGTTGCGTAGCGAGGGCGGCGGCGCGCAGCGCCGCCAGTCCCGATCGTGCTCTCCTCCCACTCCACCACTTGCCAGTCGGTCTGTGGGTTGGCAGTCTTCGATCGCGGGCTGAGGGCAGCGTCGCAAGGCCTCTGTCTCAGTGCCGTACGAGACTGAACGCGTCCACGCCGCTCACCGCGTGTTTCCAACGTTGAGGTCCAGAGAAGAGGGGCGCGCAGCGCCCCGCGGTTTCCCGTCCGAGTCGCCTGCGGCATTGAGGACGACGTTCTTCTCGTGCTGGCGCGCTCCCACTCGTTGGTGGAACGTTCGAGGTGCGCGTCGTGCCGTCGTGGCTCGCATAGACCGTGAGTCTTGCTGCTTCACCCTTAGAGCTGTCCCGCTGAGTCCTGACCAGGCCTCGATCTTCCACGATTACGCCGTGGATTGGGACGTCGCGCGTGCGCGTTCGTCTCCCGTGTGCGGCGGTTGTCGATGCACCGTGCCTGCATGATTTCTACGTGAGTGCGGTTTTGCTTTGTTCAGTGTTTGCAATGCACTCACCTTTGAATTTCGGCGTTTTTAGGCTTGAATATCCGTGCGTCCGGTGCTGGGCCGGCGTCCTTCGCGGATCGTCGCTACGTACCCCCGAAGGCTTGCGGTCAACACTGGAGCCTTCTGCTGCGTGAGTGGATGTTGGCCTCCCCCCGGCGTCTCGTCGATGGGACGCAGAGGTCGACTGCGCCCCCCCTCCGCTGTGCAAGCCTGCACCAGGTTCGTCGTTCTGCTGTCTGTCGCGGGTTGCGCGATACCGGTGGGTGTCGTTTCGTCCCTTGTGGTGCGTCCGATGCTGATGGTGTTCGGCTGACCAGGCGTCGATCGTCGCCGAGATCCACGCGGTGAAAGCGTACAACGCGGCCGAGCGCGTTTGAAGTCGGTGCGATGGGCACCTCGCGAGGCACGGAACGCGTTTGTGTGCTCGTCACACGAGCACTCTCGCGGTCGACGCCAGAATGCGCGCGCGCGGTGTCGTTGGACGGCGATGTGGTACGTGCGTGTTCTGCACACTGTTCTTGCTGCTGCTAATCGTTCGCACGCGTTTCCAGGCCGTGTCGTCGCCTCTGAGTGCGCTGCAGAGAACGAAACGTGGGGCGTGTGTGGTGGAGGCCTTGTTGAGGCTTGCCTGTGCTGTTGCGGGCCCCGGGCTCCTCATCGGCCGCATTCTGCGTCCTCCGCATTCGCAATGGGCAGGCTTTCTGGACGCGTGAGGCGGAACGCAAGTGTCAGCAAACGCAACGCACGTCAACCTCGAATTAGGAAGACTCACCGGAGATCGACTGTCAAGCACGCGAGCTGCAAAGTACGATGGGCGCGGTCTCGCGCGATCTCCCGCAGAAGGGATGGTGCGGTGTGGTGCGTCGCGTTACGAGGGGATCACTGACGGAGTTTTTTTCGCAGAACTTCGCGCCGTCCTCGCGAGCTCATCTCCTTGGAACGGCACGCCTCGGTCGAGTGCACGAGAAGCCATCCTCTGCGCGCGAGAGTTGTCGAAACAGAGCGTACGGGCGGCGGCTTAGCGCGGCAAAGGGGAGCTGACCGGTGGGAAGGAAGGACCGGGCGCGAGAGGCGAGGGACGCAGGACTGGAGGAACAGGCTGAGGATGAGAGGGAGACGTGGAGCTAGCGTAGACAGAACACATGTCAGACGGCGCGAGATCGAGCGCGCGCGAGAGACTCAGCAGAGCTCGGACGGCTCTATGCACGAAAGACTCACCCACCAGAGTGCCCTATGCACGAAAAGACAGCCTATCTCTCGAATTTATGCTGGATGTTTCCTCCGAGCCATCCGATGCAGGCCAGAGATCACCAGAGACTTTGCAGCCACCGGGGAAGCGGGTCACGTGCTCCCGACCAATGGGGAGGGAGAGGCGGCGTTGAGTTGGTCGTGCCGCAAGCCAATAGCAACGCTCGTCGCCCACCGAATTGCGTCTCATCCCAGGCCAATCAATGGACCCCGTCGATCACCTCTTCCACCCCGGCCCAGCTTATCCGTCCTACCGTCAGTCTTTTCCGCAGAAAACAAACATATCCCCGCACGCTGACCCCCGCCCAGCCCACCAGCCCGTCTACAACTTCTACCCCCACCGTCCCTCGCCCCCGCACTCTCCAGCGCCAGTCCCCCTCTTCCACCAGCAGCCACCCCAGGACTCCCACCAGCGCGACCCAGACCAGCCCGTCGACCAGATACACGACGACCCCCCCATCGACGAGGAGCCCCTCTATGTCAACGCGAAGCAGTATTATCGCATCCTCAAACGGCGCGTCGCCCGCGCCCGCATCGAGGAGTTGCACAGGCTCTCCAAGCAGCGCAAGGTACCCCTCTTCCTCTCCTCATTATTTTTCGCGCCCTCAACTCATCTACGCCAGCCGTACCTCCACGAGTCGCGCCATAAGCATGCCATGCGCCGTCCCCGCGGTCCCGGCGGTCGCTTCCTCACCGCAGAGGAGATAGCCGCACAAAAGAACCTGCAAGCCGATGCGGGGCCTTCCAACTCCACATCCCCGGACGCCGACGATGAGGACGCCATCGACGTCGACCGCGACATTGACAGGGACGTCGACATGTCCGTCGACAGCCCCATCGAGCCCCCTAAACCACCGGTCTTTGATCAGGATCGTCGCGAGCCGCTCAAGCCCCCTTCCTTCCAGCATATCCAGCCTCAGCAGCCGGTGGACGAGAAGGACCGCCCACGCGCAGGTCCCATCTCCCAGCCGTCAATCCAGCCGTCGATACAACCGCGTCCGCAACCCTCGCAAGTGCTTCGCCAGCTACCCCAAACCCAGCCTCCAACGCAGGCGCAGGCGCAAGTGCAGGCGCAGGCGCAAGTACAGGCGCAGGTGCAGATGCGGATGCACCAACAGCTGCAAGCCCAGCAACAGCCACAGGCTCAGCGCCAGTTGCAGCCGCCGCAAATGGCTCGCCAACATTCGCAGGCGCACCTCCAAATGCAGCCTCAGACGCAGACGCAGGCGCAGCAGGTTCCGGCGCATCCTCCACCCCCACAAATGATGCGCCGACCATCTCAGACTCACATCCAGACGCAGCAGCAGCAACAGGTTTCACAGGCACAGCTTCGCTCACCGCAGGGGCAAGTGCGGTCGCCGCTGCAGTCACAACAGCAGCAGACGTACGAGCACCAGCGCCAACATCAGCACCAGCATCCGCATCAGTTGGCGATGTCGCACGGCGCGAGCCCGATCGGGCTACTTAACGTCAACGTCGGATACCAACACTCGGCGCCGGTTTCACCTCTACCCCAGGATCACCAGATGCGCGATCACTCCCGCCAGCTCGGGTCACAGCACACGCAGGTTTCGCCGGTGCAGCAGCAGATGCAGGACTCGTCCTCGCAGACATCGTCCCCGCAGATTTCGCTGCGTGCGCCGTATGCGGCAATGCAGATGCACCATGTCCCACACCCGCACGCGCATGCACGCCACCACCATTCACTGATCGGTCGGGGGGAGCAGCTCTACCACGACGTGGTGCCCGGCAGCGAGTACGGCGGCGGCACATCAGGGAGGCGATAGGACGATATCAAACACATTTAAATTCTGATATATTCGACTCGTCGTCGATGCGGGGACCAGCACTAGACAAGGCTCGGACGAGACACTGGAGACGGATGCGAGCGAGAATGTCGAGGCCGCGATACAGAAGAGGAATGCAGGGCGGAGAGAAAAGAAGTAGAACGCGGGCGCAGGCGCGAGCGCGATCGCAAGGTCAAGACGAGCAGAGTCTGTGCACGCCCCTCCGGCGCCGAAAGTGAACAAATGACACAAATGGATGAGGAACGCTACCTCGAGCAAGGAAGAGATGGAGCAAAGGCGCGCGCGTGCGAGAACGACTGAAGACGATGGTGTACGCCCTGATGGCTCCATACGGACGTGCTGTAGAACGAGCGGCTGGACGGTTTTTGTCCGCTCGGTTGGGCGCGTTCTCACAATGCCAGGCTCGACATTCGGTTCCCCGCACACGGAATTGCACGAGGACATACGACGCGGAGCGAGCTCTGAAGCATGTGAGAGAAGACGAGCTCGCGAACAGTTTGTCGGTCATGCACACGCGGCCCTCGTCCAGTAGAAATGGACTGAACGACCGAGGACGATGGGTCATGACCTGGCGCCCTTCCTCGTCGTGCCCTGGCGTCTCAACGCCGAGTGTTTCGCACTACAGGTTGTGCAGGCATTGAAGTGACATTCCCGCGGAGAATTCTCTGACGCACAATGCCTTCGTCTTGCGTGAACACTTCCAGCGTGTCGTCTTGCTCCGCCCATGCAGTCCTCCCTGCTGCAGGGCTCGCAGCCGCGCTCGCATTGCAGCATCGGAACGCCGCCCAGGTACGCCGTGTTATTCTTTCCATCTTGCACTCGGCGGATGAGAGAGGGCGACGCCGCCAGGCGAGCAGATCACAGTCCGCGAGCTCGCAGGGATTCGTTCCCACTGTAGCGTCTGCGCTCGATGCCCAAGCACACTCGGTGCCGCTGCGTCTCTGCATGACGCGGGCGGTACAGTAGAGTAAACTATGTAGGAGCAAAATATATTTCTTTGTTTCGAACTCGCGGGTTCATCTCACGTCGATCTTGTCATACTGAGGGCTCGTCCGATGCACTTCGTCTCGTCCAGCTTGTGATGGCATGAAATCGAGTCGAGCTGTGTCGCCCGAATTCAAGGTAAGCAAAGAAGCAACAAGCGGCCTGCACGCAGGCTTACCTGTGTCGCGAGTACCAGAACTCAGAAGGCATCCGTGCTGATGTGCAGGACAGTCAGTGGGGCACAGATCGGACTCACCAGTGCGGGGAAGACGCACTCGATCGGCTATCTCGTCGATCGAATCGTAAGCTCGCCGCAATGCATTCTCAAGTGCTTCGCAGCGTCGTGCTAGCACGCAATGAGAGCACGGTTGCACTCAAGTATGTACAGGGACCATAGACAACAAATATATTTTGTTTCCTGTGCAACACAGACAAGTCAGCAGCCCTTCAAGACTTTTGGACAATGTGGGGTGCTCACCAAGATTGCCTATAGACTGTGTCAGGTTGTGCCACAGATCCAGAGAAACTCAGATGGTGTCAGTCTTCCGCCGAGCGGAGATGCAACCCGAAGAAAATAAATCTATTTCATCCTGCATATGGACATGTTAGAATCACCCGAACAAATGCAAGGGACGAGACAACTCACAAATTGCATATATTTACAACGTCGGACGACTCATCGGTGCTGGCTGTCAATCACAATCCCCCGATCGTCTAGTATGTAAGACAGACGGTGCGAGGTGCACGCAAGCGGTGGAACACTTCTCCGCCTCCTCGCGTTCTCGGTCCTTGGAAATCTGAAGCATCTGAGTGCTGTCAGTGGACAGATGGACTCGGGAAAAATACCCTGAGAGCGACAGCGAACGATGAACAAGCCTCTCGGGTAGAGACCAGGCTCGAATGCCATAGAGTGGCGATCAGAGGCAGTTTATCATTCATCAGCAGAGAGCAAAGGAGGGGAGACTAACGTACTCCTCAGTGCGGCATGTGCATTTGCAGCATCGGGGCGAAGCATGGCGGCCAGGAGATGATGAGCGCGACAGACGTTGTCGAGAATCAGTTGGCTGGGTGTGAGGAAGTAGGGAGAAAGGGGAGGATCGCTGGATGATGTCGAACATAGAGGAAATTCCAGTATTTAAGTCGCAGCCAGTGGTCCGTGCGCACGTATCCCCGAGTTTCCATGTCGTCTGAGTGAAAAAAATCGTCGGATCAAGTCACCTGGATACACGACGTGCGTGAGTAACCGGCCCTGATCGCATGACTCACCCGCTTCACCTCAAATTCCACCGACTCGCCGCCAACCCTGTCCAGCCCCTTCGCAACAGTCCCCGAATCTTCTGAACGTATGCTTCAAATAAATTTGCTGCACTTGTTGCCATAGCCGAGAGCCCCGTGATGTCGTAACAGTTCCGCGCCCGCGTGCAGCTTGAGCGGCGAAGTTTGCCGACCTGGTTTCAAATTGAATTCTTGCTCACCGCTCAATCTCGCATACCGGCTGGTTATACCGCCAATTTCTTCAATTTGCAGTGCCCTCTGAGCATGCAGAGGTCGACAATGAGTGTGTGGACGGACGAGGACCAGGGAGAGCTCACCAGGGTGAAGAAAGCATAAGAGATGTTCGAACTCACTCCAAACCCAAGGCAGAAGCGCCCCAACGAAGGCTCATAGCCTCGTGTCCGTCCTCTAATGTTTACCGGGTCCAGGCTGGACATCTTCAGAGATCTGCCGCGGACGCCGTTGATGCAATCCCGCTGTATCCAAGATTCCGGGTGGCCGATCTTGAGTTCCTTGCAATCTACGCGAATGAGTGCGAACGGAACAGTTCCAGGACAACAATCCATCCACTCTTTGCTCATTTGTTTGTGCATGAATTACTGCCCGCATTCTCCATGTACATATTAGATAGATAGGTAGATAGTTTCTCAACTTACCAGAGCACGCAGCATCTGGGTATTGGTAGACTGGCGGTACTACAGGCAAGGGAAGTGTCAGTGATTTTGGAATGTTAGCCTCTGCAACTTACACCGAGTGTCGATGTCCGACCCGGAAGAGTCTTCTGATGACTGAAGCATTTGCAATGCATGGCATGCATGCCCGTCCGGTGATCAAATGCCGTCGTCAGCACATAACCATCTAGCTTCCGAGCGGAGCCGAAGTGCTCCATTCATCTCACTGCAAGAGGAGTGTGCTCGGGCCGCAACTGTGAATGTAGACACAGATCCCGCACCTCTCACCTGGTGAATCCACGGGAGTGCAGCACATCCGCAAACGATGTCAGTGCATATGGTACATGTAGGAAATTCAGTACAAGTACATTCATTTGTTGTATACAGAACTGCGAAAGCATTTAGCTTGGAAGATGAACGTTAACATTGATGAGCTCAGAGGTGAGTACTCCACTGGAGTTCTACGTTCGCATTTTCGGTCCGACCTGTTGCGCGAAACCTTCCATGCTACAATCGTTCTGATCATCCTGTCCAGGGAACATCCTCGTACACATGCATGTTTGTGCAATGCTTCCCGCGGTCTTGATCACACTGCTGGAGGGAGATTCTAGTCGCGCTCACTGGCATGCACAACATCCGAACTTGGATTTGCACATGCAATGAAAGCAGACCATGGAGCATACCATTCCAGTGCGAAAGCAGGTATGTAGAGCACAGAGGAGGCCACTCGGTTCTCAGTGAAGTGGTTGACAGCGTGGATAAAGAAAGAGTTGAGTCTGACGTGCACCCGTGAATCGTCCGATGAGCTTCCAACGACACTTACCAAATCTGTCAAATGGTGCTCTTGGCTCAAGACTCAGAGTCGGGTTGATATCCACATCACTTTGTCTCTCGCGTCGATAACTCCATCTCGTGTACTGTAGTCTAAGACCTGTTACTTGCAAAGTGGTTGCCTCACTGTCTGGTAATAGTATTTTTGTAGAAATTGAATTGTACCACTTGCAGTCCGATTGTCAAGCTGCCATCCGAGTCTCGGTCCTCAGACATGTCAACAGTGCATGATCGGATGGCATTTCCACGTAGGAGTTGTGTCTCAGAAAGTCTGTAATTCATCGGAATATGAAGGTCAGTCTTTCCGGAGATGTACACGGACCTCCGATGCATCATTAGATCCAGGTATCTTGCAGAGATGCCCCAAACATCTTTGCACGTCTTTGACCAAGAAGCACAAGGACGTTTGGGGCACTTCTGCAAGATACTTTGATCCCACTTACCATGTTATTTGCTGTTTCTAGGTATCCCGAGCATGATCTTGAAGCCCTGTCCTATCCTCCCATGCAGTTCCCCAGCAGGTATGTCGTCAGATTGCTTTGTTCATGCCAATCACATTTCGGAATGGAAGGGTGAGTCTGACATCATAAGGAGCAACCGAGCAATCAGCAATCACATCTCTGGATCGCGCCTCGGGTAGTCATGACTACTAATTTCTGATTTCTGATCCCCGCCTAACTCTGTTTACTCACCAGATGTCAACGACCCATCAAATTTCGGCTACGATCAGCGGCCATCAGTGTCAGGCCGACCTGAATATATCTTTCATCCCACATTTTTCTTTCACCCACTCACCTTCCTCCCTCTCTCCCTCCAGAACAGGTTTCACTAACCTGACGCCCACTCTTGACATCTCTCGCTGCTCGCATCAAGTCCAGAATGCAGCACTCCAACAATGTGTGGTTTCAAGGTCAGCAAGCCGCAGCGAAACTCGGTGTGGAAGGATGCGCGGAGGTTTGTACTGAGCTCTCTCACACTGATTAGAGCTCACATCATGCTGACGAAACCCTGCGAGAATAGAAACTGTATGTGGCCATCGACAAGAGGTGCAGCTTGCGACAAGGCATCATTCCTACCACACATCAAACGGACTAGTATGTTTTAGCATTATTGTAGAATCCGATTTCATCTGACGGATCCTTTTTATGTAGGTCTTCATACTTGGATTCCCGAGATTCATGCACTGCAATGAGCATGCTGCAAGTCGCGATCATACCG